TTTTGCCATGGATATGACATGAAGTCTTTAACAACAGGTAGTAAACATTACGATAACTGAGATAACTTGGTACGCTCATTGGTCAGCTGTCGTGGTCGACTACGCGCCCCGACGTAATCCGTAGGCGCAGCCCAAGAACAACGTTCACGAACACGAGAAATTGTCATGACTCTTCAAATAAACCGAGAATTCTAGAGATTGTGAAATGCCAATTTTAGCCAGATGTTCGAGAAATTCGTCGGCTCCGGGTTAAGACATATATTCTTATGACCTCATGATGACTAATCTTACGCACGAGCATTTTACATTTTACCTGTAATACGCCAGCGAATTCTCGGCAAGACAAGCAAGAACAGCAAAAAGAAACCAAAACACAGTATAGACCGTTATACATGTCTACCGGCATAAAAATAATGACGTAAGGGCCGTACCTCTGCTCTTTAACCAGTCACCTACGAGATTTCAGTTGCTTGAGTTTCAATTATTTTTTTTCAAATCTTTTCTGTCTAAAATAGTATAGACCATGGTAAAATGTAGCCGATTTCGAAAATTTTCATTAAAGAACCTGATTGTGTGTGTAAAGACCCGCGAACAAAATCAAAAACGATAACAAACGTACAGTTTCATATGTAGGAATGGGTACAGAACTTCTACTTACCGCCGCATGACTGACATTGTTAAAAGACCACTTGTGTGTATTAGTGGTGTGCCGAAATCTGGTAAAGCATTGTCTTCCTTTATTTGTAAGACTGTCGACTTTTTCTAGAGCCATGTTTAGCTGAAGAGCTCCCTGTAACATTCCGGTGCCTGGCGCTGCTTCACTTGCAGTTCGCTCAAAGTGGACCAAATTAGTACTAACATCCCACAGAGAGCGGAACTCAAATCCTTTGTATAAGTGATAGAGATGCTTGGTGAAGCTGGTTTCTATTACTCCATAAGAACTCAGGAGGTCATCTAGAAACGTCTGCTGTATGCTGTCGGCAATAGGCGATTCTAAAGAGAGAGGGAAAGTCTTATAAGAAGAAATCGCGAAATGAAGGAAGTTATTTGGGGATCTGTTGGAGCAAGCAACCATTCAGCGTTCCTTAGTTAGTTTCAGCTTCTCCTAAATTTTCAAGTCGTCTCAACGCTTAGTGTTGTATTTTGAATTTTGGAGCAAATTAATCTGATCTAGATTAACGTCATTACCCTTAACATCAAAGGTCGTTTGATATAATGTTTCTGTTAGACTTTCTTTAGGGCGCAAATCGGTTTGATCACATCAATAAGGACAATTCAAGAGACTGCATATTAGAGAATACTTACGTCCCTTACGTAGCGAAAGTTTGCTTTTGAAATTTTGAAATTTTGTAATTGGGGGAAGGACGTCTATGCGCTCGAGAAAATTAAATCACGTTCGGGATGTTTAGCAAAACGGCAGAGTGTAGTAAGCTAGTGCCATCAATAATATTAAACCATGGCGCACGTTGCAATACGAAGTAGAGAGTAACATAATTATCAGTTCTTACCACCAGTTTGGCTAAGGCTCTGTGACGTATTTGACGTCTCTTCCAAGTTAGGGATATCAAAGTTGTATCCACCAATAGCATTGTCCAAGTCAATGACCTTGGCAATGAGATCAATCCTTGCAGCACCAGCAATAAAGAATCGCTCAATCTGTTCTTGGAACTTTGCCCTGTTTCGAGGCAGCGACCTCTCCTTCAACAAGCAAACTAGGTCCGCTGCAAGTCCTTCCTTGTTAAATTCCAAGTTAGCCTTTGAAACAAGTGTAAAACAGCCAATAGTTAACATCCGTTTTAATTTTTGATTCAGTCAAAAGCCATTACTAATGTTACTGAACTGAAGGAAACACTCTGTAACATCTTTCAGTATCGTTTTCAATAATTCCCTATATTTGTATTCAGATTTTTAAACGCCCGTTACAAGCCGAAGGAATATATTTTTGAATATTTTTTTTTTCTGTAATTCGTTCTCATTCCGATTGTTGTCTAGCTTTGTATAACCGTACTTAAGAAAGAACTAACCAAGTTTTTGAGTAAATTTTAAGACTCGTAGAAATGATATATATTGCACAGGGGGGAAAATGTGACCTACCTCTGACTGTTATGTTATTTAGGACCTCGTAGTGAATCAAGCGGAAAATAAATTACCTTCATCACCTCTGGTACAGAACCAACGTCCAACTGGTCAAAATCTAGGTCACTAGAATCCTCCAGAGCGGCGTACTGTTGACCAAATGTCAACCACTTAATCGTTTTGTTAACGTTTTCCTGGAGAGTACCAACGTTGCACCTTGAAGCAAATCGGCCAATAACCCCTATAGCAGCGCCTAGTGACGCAAGTGGATGTCTTCCCACAACGCCACTTGAGAATCCAGACAAACCCTCGAGTATAGCAAAGAGGTCCTCTCGGTTGAACTGGGCTGCTTGGTAAACATCGGGTAGCTGAACAAGTATTTCTGCTAACGAGCTGTTCATGCTTACTTCTAATTCTCTAATACTCTAAAAAAAATGATGAGAACAATCAAAATAGAAAACCAGAATCTGCAATTGGCACAGACCAATTAGGGCTCGTCTGTTGTTTTTCTTATTTTACTGCATGCATTTTGCTATCATTGATATTTTTTTTTTTCATAGTTAAACCTATTCGGATCAGTCTTATGGTCTAATGATCAGTCTAATGGATTAATGATCTATTGGGGGGGGGGGGGTTGTAGGTTCACGCGATCTTCCTGTTAGGATAATTATGAAAGTGAGATTCGAATATAATCAACAGAACGTGTTTCCTTGAGGTCTTCGAAGTGGAATGATGATGTCAGAGAACGTAGAAGTGAAATCATAATTTCTGCACAAGAGCCACTTTGCATCCCCCATCCTAGATCTTAGTATTTTTATTAAACGTTGGCTCAAGGTTACTTTATACAGAAACTAGAAAGTCGAAACAAAAAAACTACATCTCATACATTTCTTCTCCCAAACAAATCGTGTTACAAGTAACCAAGTTGGGAGTTTATTGCTTCGATACTTTTAAGTTTGCAAGCGTTTAATGTTGGCGAGGGCCTCAAAGCTCCCCTTCCCCACCCCTGTTCTGAATAGTGCTAATCTTTAATTGAAAATAAACACAGTTTGTAAGATTTAGTTATCAGATTTTTTCAGAATGTAAGACTAACAGTCACGTGGCTTCTAATTAAATTTAAATTCCATGTGCATTCTACTTCAGTCTGGTTTTATATAGAGCTACTGTGATCTACTAATCTGGGCATATATAATAAAATTTGTATCAACATAAGTGGTATATATGCCTGGTACAATTAGAATGATTACGACGTTATTCCATGTTTTCTATTTATTATTTTATTTTTTTGTTTCTTTTATTAATTTGTTCTTGGCAACTCTTGAAGGTACGCAAAAACTTACTGCGACATAAATCCCTTTCTCGCTTATTGCTATTCTTCTTGCTTCTACGAGCCTTGTCCTCTCACTATCAACTTGAGCCTTTGCTGTCTGTCCAAGGGTGCTTGTTATCTGTTTTATACCATCCTGCCGCTCCACCGATGCCTGTATCCCATTGTAGGCATTCTCGTACGATCTGGCGTAGTCTCTTATGGCAACAACTTGTTCCTTGAAAGTTTCCCATTTAATCAGAGGGGCGAACAATTCATTATTCCCAAATCTGTCAAAACCTTCTGTGTCTAGGAAGGCTAGTCTCCTCACAGCAACTAAGATAAACATAAACATTCTAGGTGTTTTACGGGTGTTAAGTTTGGATTAGTCTTCCTAGCATACATACCCCCTTACATCAATTCGCTTGTTTTCCTGGCTGTTGCATTATTCAAATCAACTGATTAGACACGAATAATACTCTCAGGCTGTACATGTATGCAATCAGTATTTAGTGGCTGAATGTTAACAGACTCTGTTTGTTTTTTGTTGTTGTTGTTGTTTTTGCTCGTTTTTGTTTCTGTTGTTGTTGTTGTTGTTGTTGTTGTTGTTGATTTTCTATTGCCTTTTGCTTTTTTTGCTTCTTTCCCAGCTTTTTTTTTTTTTTTTTTTTTTTTTTTTTTTTTTTTTTTTTTTTTTTTTT